GCCAAAAAGCACGAAATAGCTATCCAGCTGTCTGCAGTCGGACAGACGAAAGAAGTATATAATAAGAGTATTCGTTTTTTCTCCTTTCGACCAAATGCGTATGACCATTACAATTAGTACTAAATATTAATCTCGTGTAAAGTAGGCATTCTGCTGCAAGGTACTAGAACGGAATTTCTGTGTGTCTTTTAAAGTGAATCTTAACATCAGAATGCACCAAGCGGCATCCAGCGACTCTTCTGTTTTTCAGCAAAAAAGTAATTACAAGAACGGGACCAAAGTGGAGAAGTGAATTTGTTTTCGTTATTAAAGTCGCCGAGATGCCGACGTCTTTTTTAATGCGTCAGAGCTTCTACATGCACTTCTGCGTTTCGCCAAAGTAAATGAATAGTGTGGTTTTTCTGTATTGGCCTTTTGATCTACTCTACAGGGTGAAAACCAACAGGTTAGACTTAAGGGCAGCGGTTTTCCTCTAGATATATAATACTGAGCTTGAAGTTGCCGTGACTTTGCAGGTCAGTTGCGGTCATACGACTCTCTTGACGTTTCTTTATGTACTTTCACGATTCACTAATGGAAACAAATAGTTAAGTTTTATCTTTTGAGTCACTATATGAGATCAATCAAGGAGTTTATATTCAGGGTGTTCATTACAACAAATCTTCAGAAAAGCGAACTGGCTATCTGATGCTGACCTTAAAGCTACCACGGCCTTGACTTTCAAGGACATCCACTCGCTATCCAAGTTTCTGCATACTGGATATCTCAAGTTCAACTGTTACCATTGAGATATCGGAAACAGTAGAAGATATGAAGTCGATTGAATGGAGGCAAAGTTGTACATTCAGATAACTAAGAAAGTGGTGCTTAGGAAGTTTCGCTATTCAAAGTGTTGCCGGAATAAATAGGAGGAAAAAATTGAATTTTCTTAAAATACAGTACTTCAAAATTATTACACAATAACATTGAAACTGTTTGTCCTCTGCGAGGTGGTATATTTAAAGATTCGATATAACGCTTCGTCTCTTGTTCGCAATCATCAACTTTTGATTTTTCTAATGGACGCCATATTTGACTTTTGCATAGGTGGATACAGTTTTCAATTCTGATTTCATAAATATATAATATGCAATGTACAATGAAATTTTAAGACTATTTGAAAAAATCTTATTTACCTAAGAAGGCCATGAAGTTATCAGATAGTAATTTGTTTCTATAATCTCCTTCACTTTTTATAGGTTGGGCATAGGTGAGAAGTCCTTGTTTCCTATTTCCGATTTCATTGATATGACATAGATTGTAGCTTCAAATGACTAACAGAGCAATTTTCCTATAGTTGGTTTTAACTCATCGAAAGAGAACAAGCTAACTATTTCTTAGTATAGTTTTAAAAAACTGATAGAAACATTTTGGGGTAAGTAAAAATTTCGATAATGTCGCAGGTTGCTAAGCACATGTTATATCCGTCATATTTAAACCGAAAGACACATTTTGTGTAAATAATATTAATCTTTGGTTGATGTATCACGTAGGAAGGCTCGTAAAATAACGCTTTCTGTAATCGATAAATGGTTAAATTATATGGATGTTCTTAAAAGACGCTTCTCAAAAACTGAGAGTCCTTTTAATTGGTGACGTAATTAAATAAACATATGATGAAATAGATAGATAGATAGATAGACATTTATTTCCAACAGGTACATGTGCACCCAATAACAGGAAATGCGTAAAACCAAATGAACATTTCGTTTTATGTAAAAGCAAAAATATAACTAATGTTATATAAAAATAAACACTTGAATAATATAAAAAAGATATTTCGAAAAAATGACATATTAAATGTGATCTGCAAAATAGAACTATAAACTAGCGAGATAGGGGAAACATTGATGTCACAGCTGTTACATATCAAATTAAAATTGTTACAAATTATCGAAATAGGTGACACATATTATGTCCCCATGAATAGTTTGTACAAGAAACTCGTTGTTAGAAAGATACGTCGTGTGTTAAGAGAAATAAAGTTTGCTTCATTAAGCAGCAAAGAGTAATCAAATCCTCTTTCCGGGAATAAACCAGTTATCTTAAAATGCATATATTTCAATAATTTTCTCTTCTATGTGTGTTCCGCAATGTGGGTACCAAATCAAGATACCATACTCCAACTTGCTACAAACATAACTTATATATAGAATATTTAGTACTGAAATAATAATAATAATAATAATAATAATAATAATAATAATAATAATAGCTTTATTGTCCGACAGTTTCCCATTTATAGGACAATTTATAAACATAATACAAAAGCAAAAAAAAGCGAAAAGAAAACAACAAATGCAACACAGGTATAAATTTGTAACATGAGCTATTGGTCCGAATAAGCCTCAGCTGCCTTTAGCAGGTAATTAACATTTGTCATAAATATATCACAGTAACATCCAATTCTGTTTAAGTTAGAGCAAATTACATATAACCGTGACTTGAGAAGAATGTCCTAGCTCTAGGAAGCCCGAATATTTTATGATTGCGAGATGCAAACGTTGGAGTACGACACTTGATCTGTTCCAGGATCATGGGGCAATCAATTAAATTGTTGATCATTTTGTAGCCAAATATTATTGAGGCACAGTACCTACATAGTTCCTCATTACTTGTACTTCTCTCTGGATATGTCCCATCAATCCTAAACAGAACAAACTTCATAAACTTCCGTTGTACTCTTTCAATAGCTGTGCTATAGCATTCATAGTAAGGGCTCCAAATAATACTACAATATTCGACTTTGGATCTAACATAAGCATAATATAATAGCTTAATAGACTTTATGTTATAAAAATTTTTGCAATTACTTACTATGAAACCATAAGCCGCCAATGCTTCTGATGCTTTTTTATTTATATGCTGACTAAAAGTTAACTTTTGATCATAGATTATACCTAAATCACGTACATCAGAGCATCTTTCTAGCACAGACCCATCAATAGAGTACGGATATTCGCAAACATTAGTTTTCCTGGTATGACTGACTATTTTACACTAACTCACATTAAGCTCCAACTTGTTTTCTACACACCAAGACAGCACAAAATTTAATTGGTGTTGTAGCTTGATACAATCATCAGGAGTATTTATCTGCGAATAAATTTTCAGGTCGTCAGCAAAGCATAGGCGTTCACATTCAACTGAGTCACAGAGATCATTAATAAATATTAAAAACAGTTGGACCCCTGGGGAACTCCAGAAGGTGCCAAGTAGGTCTCAGATTGGAAGCCATTATAGCTAACAAATTCTCTACGATCGGATAAGTAAGATTTCATCAACTCCCTAGCATCATCTGTGAAACCAAGTGCACCTAACTTATTTAATGAAGTTTTGTGGTTAATTTTATCGAAAGCCTTCGAAAAGTCGGTATAAATAACGTCAACTTGCTCATTACTATCAATGGCTTCCGAGAGGTACTGCGTTATTATAAATAGGTTTGTGGTTGTTGAGCGATTAGCGACAAATCCGTGTTGATGCAATGACAGCTGACGCTGGACGGCAGTGTAAATGCGACTGTACAAGACTATTTCAAAGACTTTCGAGAACATGCATAATATAGAGATTGCCCTGTAATTCTCAATATTTGACTTATCCCCACACTTAAACACTGGACAGACCTTAGCGATCTTCCAAATATCTGGAAATATTTTTGTTATTAGACAAATATTAAAAATCCTAGTTAGAGCGCCAACAAACACTTCCACACAATCTTTGACTATAAAGGACCATCTAGACCAGATGTCATCTTATCCTTTAGTGATTTAATGGCCTTCCTGACTTCATTTTCCTCAATTGGATGAAAATGGACAAATAAATTACTATGATTTAGTGAGGCATTATTATGGGGCTTGTGAGTGACATATACGCTGCTGAAAAACTCACTGAATGCGTTTACTATATCATGAGGCTGATCTATAGAATTATTTTGAAATTTCATTATCCCTGGGATTCGTGATGTGTTGTTTTTGGAGTGAACGTATGACCAAAAAGCATTGGGGTTAATTGTTAAAGAATTCTGGATATTTTCAATATATTGATCATACGCTGATTTAATCTGGTTTTTTATCAAGCGGCGCAAACGTTTGAATTCTTGTAGATCATCAACAAAAGCAGACCTGTTGATTTTTTCCTAAATTTAGCTTTAAGTTTAATGTTCTTAATAATAGCTGAGTGAAACCAAGGCGGGTATCGGCGACTGTAATTCTTATAAAGAGGTATGTGCCTGTCAAAAATTTGGAAAATGTTGCCATAAAATACATCAACAATATAATTAACATCAGAGAAGAATGGAAAATTCTCTAGCGTTCCTCATGATAAATCCCAACATCCTATTAGCCGACAAAACAGTCGTGTCGATATGAGTTGAAAAAGACATTTTTTGATCAAATATGATTCCTAAGTCATCGATTTGCTCTTGACGCTTAAGGCTAACGTGTCCAAGATAGTAGTTAAAATTTAAGATGTTTAATTTCCTTGTGAAAGACACAAGAAAGCACTTGTCCGCATTTAAGTTAAGATGATTGGCATGGCACCATGATCACACTGTGATAATATCTTGCTGCAAGACAAGGCAGTCATCGATAGTATTGACATAGTTGTATATTTTAAGGTCATCTGCATATAATAACGTTGAACAGTGCACGTCAAGAGTTAGATCGTTAGTTTTATATCATTATGTTATACAATTTTGGAATCAAAATTGAAATTCGCCTATGTAAGAATCCAATATAGCGTCTATAAGAAAAAATAACGTCTGTGATTGAGGACAAGGGACGAAACGCCATATCGAAATTCTACTTATGCCACCTCGTAGAGAAATCTTGATGTGCAATTTACTTTAAAATCACACCTCAAATAAAGTCGGAAAAAATAAGATCTGAAATCATCAAGTGCGAAGCGGTATTTTTTCAGTTGCCTGATTGCGCAATGTTCTTAATACCATTTTCTTTTGCTGCAGATGCAAGGCAATGAGGTAACCATCCCTTCAACATCGAGACCAATGCACAGTCGGCAATGAAGAGTTCGGCCTGATGTGGAACACCTCCTGAAAGATGGAGAAGGAGCCCGGTCACTATCGCTACGACTCGTATCCGACTGTGTCCAAATCGAACACCAATTCCCTCAAAAGAGACACTGCCAAGAAGAAAAAGGACGAGTCCTCCTGTTGCTGCTTCAGCAAGAAGGCTAGGCGGAGAAGTAAAGCGTTCCTGGCTGGGCTTGCAACTAATTTAGGTAAGTTTAGCTGATCGCTGATGATTGATCAAAATGTTTTCAAAATCCTGGAACTAGTATATTTGATCCAATGTCATATTTGATGAAGCAATTTGAGCTTGAAGCTCGCAGAAAAGGACGATACGTGTATCTGTATCTATCCTACAGAGACCTGTTCATCTATTCATATATACATTTTTCTTTTATAAATTTTAGCAGACTTTTATACTTTATCAGTAAGTGGCGACAGCCACCATCCCGAAAAATAACATTTTAAGAAAAGACAGCGCAAAGCGCCGTCTATCACCAGAATAGACCTCTGAAGCTGATATTTGTTGGAATTGTAAAGATCTCACTTTACGTTTATAGCCTAGTCACCATATGACCGTTACATGGCTGACGATACTGGGTGTATAGTAAGCATGGTCTAGTTGCCATTGGATAAGCCAACATGATACTTTCGTCCGTCCTAGCAAAAGACAGCTAACCATGAACAGCTGCTTCGTGCTTCGGAGCTACTCATCAGTAAGCTGATGGGTATCCAATGAACTGAGATCTTTACAGTTCCAACAAATAGCAACTATGCGATCTCGCAATTTCCGATTTTGGTGATAGATGGCGCTTTGCGTTATCTCATGTCGATAGACCATACTTCCGAAATATAGGATAGTTGCGAAGCTTTGAGACAAGAGACCAAGCCTGGACCATGCTGATATGTATGTAGATAAACGAAGACATAGCTGTCCATGGTCGAGTGTCCTTTGGTCGGATCAACGAAAGCATCATGCTTAATAATATTTTAGTTGGTCTTTAAAAGGATATTCTTTCGTTAATGGTAGGTTATTGCAGTAGATTTAGTATAATTGTAAATAAAGAACATTTATAGAAGAATTCTCTTGCATCGGTAAAGTTAAAATTTCCAAATATATGCAACATACTTTATATACACTTTGATAACAATTTATGTCTGGGTATAATCTGATTCATTCATTTATTGGTCTTTTTGACATACAGGTACATATATGTATAAAATTATCGAGATCTATACAGTCCCAATCGGTGGCTGCCATTCACTATTCGCAGTTCGCAGTGGTCGATTCTATTGGTAGATGGTTCTTCGCGCTGTCTTATTTCGATAGATCCCACACTTTTTAAAGTGTATAGTTACCATGTGTCCGTTCGTTCTCCGAGAGAACAAGCCTAGACCATGCTGACGAGGAGCCAAAAATCACAAAACGATATTCTTACTGACTTACTTGTATCTTATCGTCAAAGAGGCCGCACAATGTAAAATTGGAAGCTCCTTTCTGGTGTTGAAGTGTCAACTTGTCAAGCAGGTATGACACAGAACCACAGAGCATGCAGAAAACATGATCTGATGGTGTTAGCATCAAAACAACAAAATTTCAGAAAAGTATTTAGGCATCCTGACCTCGAAAACGACATAGTTTATCAATATGAATCATATATAATTAATAATAAAAGTATTTATATGTCTTCAAAATATACCCAAAAAGCTATATAGATACAAATAAACGAAAAACCCGCAGAAGGGTGACCCTTGTACGCGGGTAAAAAAAATTACAAAATTCTCTTATACTAACGACAACACGGGTAAAATCGCATATAAATATGGGAACATTGCCCAGTCCGTTTTTTTTTGTTTACTCTAGTATATCTAGAATCCCAATTCGGCTGAAAGTTACGTATTTGGGATTATTTTCTAATATAGTTTTTTGTTCTCTTCGGCATTTCAATTATTTTTCAAATCAATGTATGAGACCTTGGTAAACTCACTATGCATTGCTTTACTTTCTTCTCGAATAGTCCAACTGAGCTTATTTGTTGTAATTCTTCAGAGAGTACTAGACATCAGAAAGCCATACGATCTTTGTAAGACATTTTTTCTCGTTTTGAGACTGTTGCTTGATTTTTTCAGTGTGTCATAATTATGATTCACTGTCCTCTTGTTATTTCTGCCACTATGAGCGTTTACCAATAGCGTATAAGTACAGTTGACGAGCATCAAAAATATTTGATTCAGGGAATCTCTGTTGGATTTAGCTTTGGCTTCTCAAACATTGTCTTTATAATGCATTTGTGGATTAGTTCTAAGTTCCGAACATATATGATGTTCCCCCCTGGTAGTAATACAGTAGCTGAGACGATTTTGAGATATAAGGTACGGAGCTGTGGTATATCCAACAATTTACTGAGATATGTGATATTGTTTAGTACTGTGCCCAACTTTCCTGAATACGTTAATTATTATCTATACACATCTCATGTGGGACAGCAGTTGGTTGCTGTGTCAAAATTCCGTTAAATTTGACAGCGTCATTTAGGAAAAACCATTTTCCAGTGGGTTCCGATTCGCTGGATGCCCAGCGACTGCACCACCTTGACCGATTTTTTTTTATAAAATCTATCCATAAGCAAAAAAATATAAACTGATAGGCAATTTAATTTTCACGGTAATGTACCAATTTTACAGTTTATAAAAGCATACAGTAATATAGCTTTTTCACATTCAAAAGCAAAAAAATTGTCGCCCCTGGATGTAGTGGCGTTCACACTGATAAACTCGGCTGGCGCTCGTTGCGTTTGACAGTTTAATTATTTTAATATAATACCCGGTCGACAGTATCTAATTTCAGCTAATCGGGCGGAATCAAAATGGCGAATAACTTCCCAGCCCACTGAAACTTTATTAAGCGTGGCTCAACGCTTGTAGCGTTATTTTGTAAATCCGTTTTTTGTATAGTATCGATCGTTATGGTCCATTTCTTACAGATTATCGCTAAAATATATAAACGATTTCCATGAAAAAGTGTATGTGATTCAAAGTTAATGAAACAACGTCGGTTGTAAAATGCCATTTTTAAGACTTTTCAGGTTTTGTATTGCTTATAACTCGAACACGGTTCATTCTGAAGAGAGTTTATTAAGGACTTTCCTTGCTCATAGTGATCCAAGAATCCTAAAAAATGTCTAGAGCAATAATTAGTTAATAAGTCGTTTACAAAAATGTCCACCATTGAGTATGAAAGAAAGAAAACTTATGCTCCTTGTTTATGAACAGAAACTCTTTTCCGCTGACATCATTTTCTTTGGTTGGCATGTTAGCTATTTAGGAATGCTAGAAGTATCCTTAAAATACTTTGTATGCTCGACCCAGCTCATCGTGTGGGCGATGTTAAACTACAAGACCTACGTACATTTCTCCTAAGAATCGGATTGTATCTGAAATATCCAAATCTATCAAACACGCATGGGTGTTCTCAGGAATTTTCCCATGGGGGGGGGCGAACATCGATAATCGGCAACTTTTGGTGAAAGTGTATCAGCCCCCAAAACTTTTCGAAGAGCGCGGCTAGCAAATGTGTTCAGAAGGGGCCAAATCCTAAAAATTGGCAATTTTTTAAACAAAAAAAGTTTCTCATTATTTACAAAGGTCTCTTTTTAAAATCTTTTATTTTTCTTAGGAATATGTATTTTGCTGTTCGGCTACACCTTGATAGGATCTGTGATCTTCTTGGCGATAGAAGGAGGTAGCACCTACCAACACCAGATTCTAGCTACGACCTCATTATCGCCGAGCTTAAGCAGTGGCAGTAAAGGGTTCCTCAACACCAGCGCCGAGCTTAAAGCTAAGGCTGACGAAGCCAGGGCCAAAACTGTTGAGAACATTTGGGATATCACTGTTAGCCTAAATATTTTGTACAGGTAAGGCATGTCTAACTCCCTAAGAATTACGGTCATAGGCACACTCTAGACGCATGAAATGTTTTTGCAGATGACTAAAATGTTCACTAATTTTCTTAGCAGAATTGCGGCACAATTTCAGCACAACAACTTGAGATTTTTTTTGTTTCAGTTCATTAATCATATGCGACTCATATTAAATGATGGTTTATCGTGACATCTAGCATATATTTGAAGTTTAGTAATATCTAGTACAGTTCGCTTATTGACAAATTCACACTTTTCAGCGTTACCAAGAGTGTCCCATAGTTGTATATTCCAATGCAACCCTTTATGCTAGAAGTAATCCAATTTAAATTATTCCTACTTCAGAGATAACTGGACTAGATTGGCAGCTCAAGAAATCACAAGGTTCCAGAATGAACTACTGAAATCAATGGCTGAAGAAATGGCCTCGCAGCAGCCCGTTCAGGTGGCCAAACTGGGAGGCAAACACATACAGCCTGACAACTACGAATGGACTTTCGCCAAGGCCTTTTTGTATTCACTGACGGTGCTGACAACAATTGGTGAGTTCGCATGGTTTTTCAACATCTGCCAATAATTCTATACCGAGTCTTACAAATTTGATTCCCATTATTGGCGCAAAGTTGCTCACTTAGATCACTAAGAAAATGGTACTTGGTAAGTTTTGCAACTATGAGTATTTCCTAATATAGATGACAAGAACTAATTGTTCAAATATCGTTGCTTGCTGACTTTATGAGAGGTGGGCTTCCAAAATGAATTACACATCAGCATTGTGACATTTTCATAGAGTTCTTATTTCCAATTTCAAAAATATATATTACAACATACATCAGAATGATTGTTCTCATATACTCTGATTTAGATTCACTGATCCATGTCAGATTATGGATGGAACAATATTAAAGATATAAAAGATTATAAATATGTGAATATAGTCATGAAATAGGGGTAACTGCAATGTTTTTGTCTTATCAAGCAATGATTTTAACGGGTAAACAGGAGTTGGAGTTACTCGAAATACGAGTACTTCAATCCATAAATCAGCAGCAGTGACACCACTTCGGTTCAAAACAAGATATCTGAGGTTATGTTCTAGTATAAGATCTGCTGTGAGAGATGAATGAAAACTCTGATTTTCTATACTTTTTAATGAATGTTCTGAACCAAACGTAATCAACATATTTTTTCGCACGCATTGCGTGTTGTGCTTATTAAATTGGATATTGATTTGTTCAGTTAGGTAGCTAATCGTTATTTTGTTCACACACAGATAAAGTTACCAAATCACTTTGATTCATCAGTTTAAAAAAACATATCATATGTTTCATCAACCATACGTCACTTACCAAATAACTATTCTCTTACCTTTGATATTATTAATAACTCTTATAAATGAATTATTTATGCTGATTTCACAATTATTAAACATCTAATAAGACATAGTACGTATTTACAATTAGTTATTAGAAAAAATGTTATACCTAACGCTTGCGGAAAGTATCTCTTTGGGCACTTGTTAGGTTAATAACTATTCTCAGTAGTATATCTCTAAACTTGTTATCAAAAAATGCTAAGCTATCACGAAGCCTATTTGAAGTGGAAAAATGGATTTGTTGGAACTGCCAGTCTATCTCAGCTAAAAAGTGACATCATATTCATAATCTATGCTTTCGAACTACTCGAGTAGAGGGTTTTGATCGAAATTGCAGATACTCAGGTAATATTCAGATTTTTTTAGTGGCATTTGTAGTTTCTCAAGGCGAAATTCATATTCCAGTTCTATCCTACTAGGAATGATTCTTAGACATTAAATGCAAGTGAACATATTTAGGAACTACAATTTGATATCTATAACAGGCTCTCTAAGACAGCTGTTTGATGTTTGTGATGAGTGGTAGCAGAACTTTGGGTCCGTATTAGCAGAAAATTTGGATTATCTCAAAAACAGCATCGGTCCACAGTATATTGGAACGATACATTCCACTTTGAAATCACAATTTTCCTCAAGGTTACAACCTTCCTATTCATCGACTATTTATCCTTTAACCTACTAGTACATCGGCATGAACTTTGCCCGTTAATTTATAAATGGCCTTTCGGACTCTTTTCTTCTCTTAGTTTCCGAGGCACGGATTTTTTTCTCAATTTGCTCTTCATAAATTACCAGTTGGGTTGGAAACTCCTAAATTGTCTTTTTTCATTTTGGACGAGATCCAATTCCGAATTAGTCAGTTCCCTTACAACTGGATCCTGTGTGTTTACATTGCAGAATGCGGCACAAAGAAAATGTACGAAAACACATTTAGGAGGTTGTTTTTTGCTTTTCCTGAGAGATAGTTTGTTTGGATATTGTAACAGGGGTCATCTTTTAATATTGGAATGTAGTAAAGGGAAGAATTAACAAAATGATCTAAAGAAATTTCCAGTGAAAATGTATCGTTTGCAAAAAAGGCGAAATATCTAGGATTAATCTCAGATAAAACACTAAACTGGAATTGGCATCTGGAAGCAGTCCTTAAGAACGCAAGGAGCTCGCTATGGAACTGCCGAAGGGTCTGTGGAAAGAACTGTGGAATGAAGCCTAAACAAATGTTTTAGCTTTATAGCATGGTTATTAGACCTATGATAACCTATGGATCTGTAGCTTGGTGGGGCAAGGCAGCACAAAGAACTGTCCAAGCCAAACTGAGCGCAATACAGAGAGAAGCGTCTATGTTGATCACTGATACCTTTCGTACCACACCAACTGCAGCAATGGACCAAAGAGTGGCAGTGTAGGATCGTTATCGATGCACCCACAAGACCCCTAACCTAACGTCTAGGTCCAAAAACAACAATTCAGACTAACGTAGAAAAAACAAAACAACTGGAGCATCCTGCTCAAGCGAATTTTTTCAGCTTGGGTCGCACTTATTTTGAAATTCATGTGAATCCCCTCTAGCAAAACATCATCAAAACCTTACTTGCCAGTTAGCAGCCGATACAGGTACCGAAGTTCGAGGCGCTAAGCAAACTCACACACATCGACAACAATGTTACCTCCAGAGATTAACCCAATTCTGGCCGATGGAATTCTTAAACAGATACGACCGCAACTGTTTACAATACCCGACAGATTGCGCCAAAACAAACATGAGTTGCCAAGTATGCTTACGGAGGGCTTACTTGGGCACATCGCAGTGTGTATGAGATTAACTTTTACACGATACAGATGGTTATATGAATGCGAATGCCTGTCCAGTCTGTCAGCATCAAGTCTGAATCACAATACGGAAAAATGTAAACATTTGTACATCTACTAATTGGAACACGAGAAAGGTTATAAGCATGGTTTTATCAGGAGTATAGATAAATCAAAATATCTCGAAAAATATGTTTCCTAGAGAAGAATGTTGTAGAACAAAGTTGTAAGGTTTGAAACCATCCATCCGTCGGTCAGCCTTGAATATAACGTTCAAGCTCACTTAAAGGTCAGGATAATTTTTTTAGAGAAAAGCCTTATTTTCGATATTGGAAATAAAAAGAGCAAGAAAGATTATGTTCAAGTGATCATGAAGGTCATTTGAAGATCAAATGAGTTTTGAACGTGAAACGTCTATTTTTAATTCCTGAAAAGGGAATTGCAGACAATTTCAAGTATATCCTTGCCAATGAATCTGACCATGACCTTCAAGGTCATTTAAGGTCAGATACATTTTCAAGTACATTCCCTACTTTTTGTCGAGTATATAAAAAAGCTAAGCATTGGAATCAATTTATTGTTGAAATAAAATATTGAATGAAAAATTATCATTGGCAAAGTATATATTGCATTACTTTGAGTATTGCACTTCCCTCTCCGAAACGAATCTCCTTCACACTAATGCGAAATGAATGACCTACAATTTACTCTGCTGCCACGCGAACGGAGGTGCGGGCTCAGTCTAGTGGTCAATAATTATTGATGGGAATATTTTCACTTGCTTGTGTTTTGATTACTTTTCCGACAAGTACGAGTAAGTTAAAAGATCCTCTCTTTTGCTGCGTCGAAGACGTCAGCTGTATATTCTAAATCTACAGAACTCATGTTTTTCTAGCCACTTATAAGTTGACTATTTACTAACGTTTCGGCCACATTGTAGGCGTTTTTCAATGTGCGAACCGAAATGATGTTGACAATGTATTTTATATTTTCTATCCCGAATTCATTACGGCTGTAACTGCCAATATATGTAATTATATTGCAGATAATTAAAATTGCAATTATAGCACTAATTATTTGGAGGTGCGGTTTATCTGACTTTTAAGTGACAGTTTGTTTATTTTTTGTCGCTACTATACAGTGTCTTGCAGCAACAGCCTGAACAATCATGTATCACACTGCGGGAAACCATCATTACTATTTGAAAATGGCAGATCGAAAAGCAAAGATAGGACCATTGGGGGTAAGTAGAGTTGCAAGAACTCGCAACACACCGGTTGACTCTTATGAAAAAGGACCACATTCTATAGTTTACTCAAAGAAATTCATTTTGAATATAAAAACTGGGACAGAAATAGTATTTTGATGGACAGCCAAGAGATTATTTTATGAAGAAGAAATTATTTAAAATCAATAAAGAAATACGGCGACCAGAGCAGGAAGATTTATTACTTGGATTAAACCTGGATAAATGCAGGACATGCAAAACCTAAAGTATAGACTGACTCTACAATTAAATCGGCAAGACAAGCCTTCTGGGCTACACATTGGCTTAAAAAATTTGTGTTGTAAAAATGGTGTCAAGTAGACCGAATCTATGAGCCCACGCTGAAAACTTAGCTATATCTGGAGATTTGGAACCAACACCTGTTAGATACTCTACTACTTTTTTGAATACTGTATGAAATAATTATTTCCAGGAAAAGGAAAACGATTAGTCTCTTAGATTTGCGGTGAAGATGGCTTTGTGCCCCCTGCCCTATGGGCATTTGAGGCAAAGAAAACGACCGACTACCATGAAGAAATGGACGGTAGTTCATTTAAACAATCGTTTGAAGATACGGTTCCAAAGCTTGACCACAATGCCGTCATTGTAATTGATTATACTGTATACCACACTAAAAAACTAGAACAAAATTTTACAATATCCACAAGAAAGGCAAAAATTCAACATTGGCTCCTATCAGAAGACATTAGCTTCAATTTAGATATGGTCAAAGCAGAACTTTTCCATCTAGTCAAGCAGCACAAATATAATCTTAATGTTATTGACGAAATGGATCACTGCGAATTAAATCCCATTGAAATGATTTGGGCAAATATAAAAAACTATGTGGCTTCAAGCAATAGAAAATTCAAATTTTTTGACGTGAAAAATTTGTTTTATGAAGCTGTCAACAGAGTGACGGCAAACCATTGAAAAGATTGCATCCGTCACGTTCAAGAGGTAATCGAAACAAAGATTTGGGATCTGGACAACATGATCGATATTCAAGTTGAACCTGTAATTATCAATATTAACCATTCGGACGATGATTCAAGTACTTCCAGCGGAAAAAAATTGTGAAAAGTATTTGTA